AGTCAAATTAAATAGAATCAACATTTTATAGATTTAGTGATCATAATATTATTGTTAATAGCCATAATTGTTTTTTATATAAAATTTAACTTAAACTTTAGATATTATTATAAAAAGATAGTATATATTAATGCCAATTTTCAAAAAAAATTTGAAGACCCAATCCTTAAACTACCTCATTCAATTTAATTAAATTCTATTCCATAATTTCACCCCTATTGCAGTTCGCTGAAAGTTGTAATCATTTTTCACCGACGGCAACAGTGACGACGGTTGCCCCTTTACAAATCTCATCCTCCTTAGCAATTTTCTCTTTTGGTGGCAACAGAATAACACGTCACACCTTTTAGGCAACCCGTAAGTATAAACTATAAAGCATTGAGATTTTTTGCATCATAATAGAGAACCAGCATTTGTTTTTCTCAATTCCGTCCTCACAGCCGTTCGACAAGGGGCTGAAAACTTGCAGAAGGATGACTGACATTTTTTGCATGACAATGGAGAATCAGCATTTGTCTTTTTCAATTCCGTCCTTAAAGCTGTCAGCGAGGGAATGAAAACTTGTAGAAGGGGTAAAATTATAGGATAGAATTTAATTAAACGAAATAAGAAAATTTAAGGGCTAGAGCTTCAATATTTTTATGTCAAAATCGATATACAATATTATTTTATTGTAATGTATATATTAAATTTTTGTCTGATGAAAATTTTTTTTTTTTTGAAAGGCAAAAGAATATATTACTTATGGAATACAGGGGGTATTCCAGCCCTTAACTTACAAAAACAGCCGATTACTCAGAATCTTTTTCACCGGCTACTGTACATGGGCCATACAAACGAAAATTCCAGAAATCCAGTTCATACTCTGTCTTTTTCTTTGGCTTTGGACATTAAGCATTTGGTTGGATTCTCGCACCAATTTGTTAAGGAGAATCCATCCAGACCTGCACTATATTTTGCCCAGTAAAAAGATCGAGTTTGAACTAGCTGGAAAAAATAATCAGACTTAGCTTCCTTGGCGTTGAAAATCCTGTCATTCCTTCCCAGCCATAGTGTCCATACTACTGCAAACCAAATGATGTTCCACCCTTTATCTAGTGATTTTGGGCCCCCGTACCACTTGTGTTGTTCCAGAACCTTCATACATGAATTACCTAAGACATATTGTTTACCCCACCAGTGGTAGCATTTCATCCATAGGGTAGAAGCTAGGTTACAATTAATAAGCAAGTGGTCGGGTGTTTCAGTTGATGAATTACACCAGCAGCATCTTAGGTTGTTGTGATCATTCAAGATTCCGTGGGTTGCTAAGTTGTCTTTCGTAGGGAGTTTCTTGTGAAGTAATTGCCAGCAGAAAGCACTTACTTTAGATGGAATGGGGGCCTTCCACAGCCTTTTGAAGTCAACCATAATGTTGGTGTCGTCCTTTAAAAGATGGGAATAAGCCGACTTAGATGAGTATATTCCAGAGGGGTCCTGTTTCCACCACCAGTTGTCTTCTTTGTCCTGAATTGGGTGAGTTGTCCTGAGCATCTCCAGAAGATCTGTTTCCAATTCTTCCTCCCACGCACGTAGTTGGCGTTTCCATACTAATTTCCATTGCCATCTTCCATTTTCCCAATTTCCCATGTCTTTGACATTATGATTTTCACCTGTGGATAACAGAAACAAGCGTGGATATTTGTTAGATAACTCACTCCCTCCTACCCATTCATCCAACCAGAATTTTGTATCTCTGCCATCCCCTATTTTCACTTCAAAACCTGAGCTCAGCCAATTATTTTTAGCCCCCACCCCTTCATCTAACTTGCAAACGTCCTTCCACCAACTTGAACCTCGACGTCTACCCTCCTTTAGATAGGATAGCCAATTCCCTTCTTTATTCCCGTATTTTTCACATAAGACTCTTCTCCATAAACCCCCTTTTTCTGTGAGCAATCTTCCCCACCATTTTCCTAATAATGACATGTTGAACCAAGACAGATTTTTGACACCCAAACCCCCTTCCAGTTTATGTTTACATACATGCTCCCATGCTACCCATGCTACTTTTTTCCTCTCCCCGACTCCCCCCCATAAAATTTTCTCCTAATTTTGTCTAACTCACCTATGACGCTCTTTGGGAGTAGATAGAAGGACATAATGAACACCGGTAAACTGGTCAGCACCGCATTAATGAGAGTTATTCTTCCTCCAAAGGATAGGAACCGCCCTTTCCATGAAGACAATTTTCTTTTGAAGGTGTCGATAAGTGGCTTCCATGTGGCAATTCTTCTAGGATCTGCTCCTAAAGGGATACCCAGATACTTGCAAGGTAGAGATCCTGATTTGCAATTCAGAAGACATGTCATTTCCTTTTCCCATCGGTCATCGACATTGATTCCAATCAAGGAGCTTTTTCCATAATTGATTTTCAGCCCGGAGACTAATTCGAAGGCCCGCATAATGCATTTTGTGGTCCATATATTTTCCTCTGTTGCTTTCCCCAATAATAGGGTGTCGTCCGCAAACTGCAAATGGGAAATTCTCAAATCCCCTCTACCAATTTGGACCCCTTCGAAAAGTGCTTTATCAAATGCTGATGAGATGATGCCATTGAGCCCTTCTGCAACAATAAGGAAGAGGAAAGGAGCTAAGGGATCTCCTTGTCTTAATCCCCTACTCATGGTAAACTCTTTTGTTGGACTACCATTGAGCAAAACAGAAACCGAGTTTGTTTGCAGACATTCTCGAATCCACCCCCTCCATACCAAACCAAAATTCATCCTATCCAGCATATAATCCAAAAATTCCCAGCTGACGTTGTCGTAAGCCTTCTCAAAGTCGGCCTTGAAGAGGAAACAGCTCAATTTTTTCTTCTTGATTTCATCTATCGTCTCATTTGCGATAACTACCCCATCGACTAATTGTCTGATGAAAATTTGAAAATTGGTCCATTTGCTTCTGCAGTTCTTTTCCTAAAGATAATAATAAAAAAATGATTCCTCAAATCAAATGGTTTGTTGCTTGGACTAAGAGATTTGTTATTTCACTGTTAATAGAAACACCATTTCGTGTTGAATGCTAGGCTCCCTGAAGATCCCCTTCCCCATCCTCCTAATATAGTAGATATGATTATAATTTATTCAAAAAAGAGATAATAATAAAAAAAATGACTTGTATTGTCATGGTTAAATATCAAATTTTGTTCTTTAACTTTTAATTTTAAATACTTTTAGCTTATAAATTATTTTTATATTATTTTCATCTTTTAATTATAAAAAATATATATTTT